ATGTGCAAATGGTGTACAAAGAGTTAATCAAATATAAACAAACCTTGATATTACAGGTATAGCAACTGTAACTGCCTTGCCCTTTTAGGTGACTCACATTTCTTGCTGCAAACACTGTAAAACTTTACCTTGGGTGTTGTAAAGAATACATGTGGACAAACAAAGGTTTCCTGGCATTGGCTGTGCAAGTACAGTCACTGGATTGTTGACTACTGCTCAAGTTCCTTTTACCTGAGATAAAAACAATTTCTCAGAAACTGGACACACTTATCCACCCCGCCTTCTGCTTTGCATAATTAAGACCAATGGCCAAACCTTCCTCCTCATTTATGAGAAAGAGATGGCTAACAGGTTCCTTGTTGTGCTGTATGTTTAGTGTTGAATAGCTCTAAACATGTGGTTGTGTGGCTAATCATAATGGCAAAAATTCCAGACCTGGTCTCACGCACAGTTAATGTACTGCAAACAGTGTTTCCTTGACTAGTCTGTGTCTCAGACTAATTCTCTTTTAGCATTTATCCACATATTCATATTTTTGTTTATTTTACCAGATATTGTAATAAGATGAAATCAATGGATTTTTATTTTTTAAAGCAAACTGCTACTGACAAATCTGCCTTCTCCTTTTGGCCACATTACATGTAAGATCTTTTTTTTTTTTTTTTTACTTTATCTGCTGTTCTGTAGAAGCAGACATCTTACACTTCCTTGTGCTTTACATGCTGACAGATTTGATAATATTTATCATGGGTTGTACTATAAACCACAAGGTGTGATTCATGTCACGTCCTCTCATGTTTTTGCAGTTTCCCTATTCTCAAAAATGCAGGGGATTGAGCTGATCTCATAAAAGTAGTACTGTATATTGCAGAAAGAAATTCTTGATAAAATGATATAGTGCTATGTTATGTATTTGCAAAACTGTTCAAATAACTGTTTAAACAAAATTACTTACTTCCTCAGCACAACAACTATGACAGGAAAGCTACTTTGTCCTTTTCCGTCATTGTAATTAGTCACTTTTAAATTAAATTGGACAACATGATTAAGTATTTGACATATATTCATAAGCATTCTAGCAAAGTTTTTCTTTTCAGCCAAGGAAACATATTCCTTCCTATTCAGTAGAGAAAAAACGAAAATGAAAGCTACGGAATGCACTTGACATTTCTGTGGTTACTGTCCAGGGAGTTTACACAAAGCTGTGATTGAGAAATCCTTCCAAATCAAACCACATAATGCAGTGTGGTGCCATGTGGGAAAGTCCTGGTGATCTTTTTTCTCTCAAAAACAGGAACAGTTTAGCTCTCACCTACATCCGCAGGTAAATATCGAAGAACTGATCTTCACAAAGACTCACAAAAATCTTTTTTATCTATGAGATTGCAAATGATTGTGGTGAATTTCTACAAAAAATAAACATATAAGGAAAGCTGTCATTTCACAGAGTTTACAGATGGACACATTTTCTTGCATCTTGAACACACACTTGAACATACAATGGGTACAGAAAGTATTCAGACCCCCTTAAATTTTTCACTCTTTGTTATATTGCAGCCATATGCTAAAATCATTTAAGTTCATTTTTTTCCTCATTAATGTACACACAGCACCCCATATTGACAGAAAAACACAGAATGTTTGACATTTTTGCAGATTTATTAAAAAAGAAAAACTGAAATATCACATGGTCATAAGTATTCAGACCCTTTGCT